TAATACAGCCACCTGCTGCTGTACACATCATGGATTAGCTGATGTGAATTAGTTGACTTTATTTGTAGTACAAAGTATTGTACTTTTTCCCTTCTTCAGTTGTGTTTAAGGGATTCTTCCTTGCAGTGTTCAGGGGAAATCTTGCGAGGTCTGCATAACTTGAATTATTGGAGCTCTGATAATGCTAACAACCACATACCATGTACTTTGTAACTGAAAGGGTTTAAAACCAACTTGCAGTATTGCTTTAAAAGAAAAGTCTCAGCATCTCGTAGCTGAGGTACTTCTTGTCATCTTATGCAACTTGAAATTTAATTTTTAATATTAAAATGCCACAAAAATGTCATTGGTGTAATAGTAAAAATAGATTTTGCATATTTTCTGAAATGTGGAGTATGAGGCACAAGTGAGATTTCTTTTCCTGCTCACAGAAATTCTGTTTTTCTCAGTAGAGGATTGAGTGAAGAACAGAGAGGTCAATTTTAAAACCTTTCATTTTGTGTGATTACAGCCATGCTGCAAATGCCATTTCACTGTAAGGGAGGACTTTAAAATATACCTTACTTCTTGATTTGTGCTGCAGGTCAGATTAACTAAAATGGTTATTGTGTCACCCTAGAGATTCCTGCTTGCTGCAAGACCAGACTTTAAACCCTATTTTTATTATTAAAAAGGCCAGCAGCAACAAAGACTATTTTACAAGTTCTGAGACGTTTTCATAGCAATTTGGTCTTTATACACAGGTTTTTAGAACTCTTTGTACTGCGATTCTTAGCGTATGTAAAAAACGGAAAGGGGGTAAAAAGAGTATGAACATTCATTTGCCTCTTGCCTGGAGACTGTCCCCTCTCAATATGCCCTTCTTGAGGAATGAATTTTGAACAGAACATGTGTTGGACTCCTGTGTTGTGGTGGAACAGCAGCATCTTTCAGCAGATGAAGTAGATCAGGTTGAGGGGAAACCTGCTAGTTTGTGGGTCCAATGTATGGCGCAGGTTCCCCCTGCTTCTCTTGAATTGCTGTTACACACTTCTATCTTCAAGGGAAAAAATAATCTGTTTTCAAGATACAAACCTGGGTGTGACAGTTCCTATTTGTATCCTATTTTAGTCAGAGACAGCAGTCTTAGTAAAACTGGCCCCTAGAAGGGAAACAATACTAGATGCAGATTCTCTTTGTTATATTTTAATAAAGTGTATATACTACTTTTACTGACTTTCACTTGCTGCAGTGATGTTTCTGCCCTAGCTTATGTGCTAGAAAACTGTCTGTTAAAGAAAGATTTGACTCAACATAGTTGCCTCTTGCTCTTTCCTAATCTTGTTTAGGAAAATTTGGCAGTAGTTAGCCAGCCAGTATCCTCGGGTATCCCTTGATGTTATCTGCCTGTCTTCTCCTTATCCTGTGCTTTTAACTGCTCATACAATGTTTGGACATCTAATCTCACACTTTTTAATGGAACAAAACTTGATGAAAAGATGGTTTTGCTGGCTTCAGCAGGGTAATTTGGATGCCTGCCCATATCACTTAATGGGGATCTGTTAAGTCCATTATGGAGATTGAGAGTTTAAATTCATTTGTCTTAATTATGTTCTCAGAAAAATCCCCAAGACGTCTAGAATGCAACAGGACTATGATTTCTTTTTTTCTTTTGCTCCGAAACCCTGGTGAGATTCTGCCTGATTTGAAAAATCCTTTGACTGGTTACCAGGTGGAAAATGTATTGGGGAGAGTAGATGACAGTAACAACATGCGTTTCCAGCATTGTCTTGGGAACTGCGTGGTCAGAGATGCATCAATTCTGTTTCTAGAAAGCGCATCTTTTTCACACTGTCCACCAAGTGTCATCCCGTCCTTTGTATCAGTGGGTTTTCTGCCAGCCCTGCCCTCCAGCAGTGCTCGCTCTTGCAGGGCCTCTGTGTCGACAGCACGCTTTGTCAGCTTGAATTGCGTGGGGTAAATGGTGACGGTGCCCAGGCGCTACCCAGTCCTCAGCCAGAGCAGCGTTCTGGTACTGCACCAAGAGGCGCTCAACCCACCCGCTCCCTTCCACCCCGTGCTGATGCCAACCCAAAGCCCCCTCGGGGGTCTTATTTCAGTGCTGCTTCAAGCCAGTGACCAAATGTTCAGCAGCCACCTGTTTTTGACATGTCTAACTGCACTGAAGCTGGTTTTGCAGGGCTGAGGGAGAGGGGGGATATGTTTCCTAATGACTCCCAGGGATGGAAGCACAAGGCTAGGCTAATAAGGGCTTTTATTTGGGGTTTTTGTGTTTTAAGTTTAATGGTTTTGAAAGTCCTTTTCATTTTAAGTGTAATGATTCTTAAAAGTAAAGCAAATCATCTTTCCCCTTCTGGTTTTCTTTGCCACTGGAGCCTTTTGGAATTTAATCTGCCCCCAGAGGGATGCCATGTGCATGGCATGTTGTAATGCCTCTTCTCATGGCAAGAAGACTGTGGTGCACATGCGACCACCCTGATGACTGACCTACATTGCTAGCAGGAAGGTGTGCTTCTACAGGCATGCTCCGTAGCTGCCTGTAAGTGGGGGTGGCACCAGGTGTTGGAGGCCTGGGCAGCTGGGGCTGGAAGTAAGCACGTACCTCTGCCAGAGAATCTCAGCGGTTTATTGCTCCCGATTAATCCAGGGAGTGATGAAGAGGTGTCACATAAAAATAGTTTCTAAGCTTCAGTGTTTCACAGAGTTCACGAAGTTTCAAGTTACTTTTTCAGACTTAGTCTTAATTCCCCCCCCATTCCTGATTGCTTGCAATGTGTTCCTGAATATAAATATACATATTTAAGACTGAGATTAAAGGGAAGTTTATCTTAAACATCATATGGAAGTAGGCCAGCTGGAGGTAACGTCAGACAATTGCAGAACTGTAATTTTCAAGTTTAAGGGACATAAAGCCTTACAGTCTCTAAAATATTCTTGAAAGCAATACTATATACTTTGAAAAAGACAAACAAAAAAAACCTGTTCAGAACTGAAGTAATTCTGATAAGTAATGGCTACAAATGTTTACACTGCACACAAAAGCAGGAATAGAGTGTGTGTGGTAAGTGAATGATGGTATCTGGCGTTGAGAAAGTACTACTACATTTCTGTAAGGAAAAGCCTACATAGTGTGATCAAAGCTGACTTGCAAATGGTGGTGTTTTTGTAACTGAATCATTTGTCTCCTCTTCAAAAAAAAACCCAATCAAACAAAAAAACCCAAAAACACACAAACCCCACACCAAACAAACCCAACTACTCTCAACATATGTATGTCAAAGTCTTGCGTTCCCTGATTTCTGATGAAAAATCTTAAGCATGTGTATAGTTTGAATCTTACAGGGCAGGATGCGCTTTTAGGAATCTTGCACTGAAATACTGTTTTTCTTTAAATAGCCTAGCTGGCTGCAATACTTGATGTGAAGCTGCCAGCATCACTAAAGTAAGGACGAGTCTACTGATCTGAAGTAAAATAACAGACTTGCCAAAAACAAAACAAAAAAAGACAACCCACAAACTAAAAAACCAAACCCCCAAAACCAACCCAAACAAAAAACCAAACTCTCAACAACAAAAAAATTTTTTTCCCCCCCCCCCCCCTGCCCATGGTATTTTTTTTAAATTGTGGATTCTTATTTAAGTAGTAGCAAGTGAGGGAGTAATGCTGTGTAGGTGCTACAAGCTCAGTTGTTAACCAGCTGAATTTCTCTTCTCCAAGTGGGATCTCTGAGAGCTGAAAAGCAAGCAAAAACATAGTGTATCGCAAGCTTAGTAAGCAAAATATCTGTACTGACTGAATGAGGAATTCCAATTATTTTTTTTTAACGATTTGTGGGGTTGACGGAAGGGAGGAGAGTTGGATGCTTTACTACCATGATATGGCTGTACTTTCTTTAAAGACATGGACATGCGTGAATGTAGAGAATTCCCATCCAAACAGATTCTGTTAAGTCCTGGGAGTGGGGAGAGGATGGGCTAAGGAGCTGTTCTAGTTGCATGTGGGATCATTTAAGGATTATCATCAAACCTAGAGGTTTGTGACAAACTCAACCTGAGTAAATGGAAAAGCTTCCTTCTCTACAGAGAGAGTGAGCACTCTGTAGAGCAACCAAGTTGGACAGCTGGCGGATCTGAAAGCAGTGTGGTTGCATTAGCAAGGTGGCCAATCCAGGCTAGTAAGTCTATTAGCAGACTTGCCTGGGTTGAGCTCCAAAGCAGCTGGCATCTATAGTTATCGATTAGAATGAAGTAGTATGTACCTTGAAATGCAGAGATAAAACTTTTTTTTTTTTTTAAATCCTCTTGGCTATGGTTTTCTCTCCCATCCCGAGTTTATCTAACCCAGGTAGGGGTCGTTTCTAAGGATTTCTTTGTGTTGAACGGTTTTTGGAGGTGAGTGAAAATAAATATATGTAGTGTATCTCTGACTTGCTTCAGGTATGCCTGAAGATTCAAATACGTACTGGGAAAAGAAAGAATATTAGTGAACTTGACAGCATCCTGTTATGTTGGGTAATAAGATGTTTCAGAATGGCAATATTGGGTACTGGGTTCAGGTAATACAGCGTGAAGAAATGGAGTGTCTTGCTTGTGCAGTCATGAATTGAGATTTTGAATTAAGAATATGCCACAGAACTCAGCAGCTTCAACTTTTAATACTAATCCAGCTTCATAAACCAGTTCTGATCAATATTTTCTGTTAATCAGCAATGGCAAAGTTTATGAGCTGAGGAGCCAGCAGCAAGGCTCCTGTTAAGGCTGCGATGATACCACAATGCGGTCTCCATAAAAAGTGTACTTACACAGTGCTATCAATTCAAGGCTCTAAGCGTGACTGAGTATCGGAATCTGTCAAAAGTGTCCAGAAAGACAGGAAAAAATGCTGTGAAATACATTCTTTCAGTAGGGACTACAGAGCTGTCTGAAGCTGCCATAAAGAGAACAAGACCTTTAGGATATTGTATATCGTAATTAATGTAGGTGTTTTCTTTTTAAATTAGATGCAACAATTGGAGTTAGCACAAATGCAACAAAGAGAAGCCAACCTCACAGCTTTGGCAGCCATTGGACCGAGGAAGAAAAGACCGTTGGATTCTCCAAACGTTGGATCTGGGCTGGAGGTATGGAGATGACTTGCATGTTGTTGTAAGTTCATACTGAACCATTTTTATCCTTCCCTGTAGGAAGAAGTGAGAATTCTCTTGCACGAAATGGCTGGTTCCGTGATGTAAGAAAACTAGTCTTTGTGTTAGATACTTGAAAGGATTGTTTCTGGTAAATTTGATGGGGATGTTTAATTGTGCGTTATAGGAAGAACTGTGGATAAGAGCACTGTGTGTAAAGGCCTGAATGAAATGATGGCTCAGAGAAACTTCTATCTGCAGTGGAAGGTAACGAAGCTGTGGTGGTCTTACACAGCAGCTAGTTGTCGTGGCCCCTCAGTTGAACTCATGATGGCTGATTTGGATGGCTTTTGAAATGGCTCTTGCTTTGACATTTTGGCTGTGGACTTTTTTCCATGCACAATGCATAAGGACTCTTTTCAAATATACTGTGAGTTCGCCTTGGCTAGATCCCCCAAAAAAGCAGTAAATAAAGCTAGACCATTCAGTTCCTATACTGAGCCAGATCACCTTTTCTGGCTCATGCTGTGTTTTAAAAGTGCCTTGAAGGTGCTTTCAACAAATCTTGGTCTGAACAAATCTCTTAATGTTGTGCTGGAGATTAACTGTTTCTGGGACCTGGGAAGCTTATGGGGCTGCGGAAGTTCTTTTCAAGGAGACTGACAGCCTACTTCTGTTAGAGATTATCATCTTCGCTGGAGACGGGAGAAGTGTGTTGTGGGCTGTCATTCAAGTGTTGTTGCCAGTTTTGCCGCTCTTTCTCATGAAGCCTCCGTGTTGCTCAAGTGATCGGCTGGTTGGCTTGTGACCCAAGCACAGTGAACAGAAGCCTGGAAAGTAACTCTTGCGTGGAAGAAGTGGTGATAAAGTTGTCCTTTCTGATAAACCTTAAGTCTTCATTCTTGTGGCCTAGGAAGCTTAAATAGATGCTAGGATTGAAAATACTCCAGTGTTTTTGCATACTGGAGTCTGGAAGGACCTTGTATAAAGCTCAATTATTTGCAATGTAACTGAGACAGTGGTGGCGTTTGTACTGTCCGTTTTCCCCTCAGCCTGGACTGTGACAAGAGACCTCCCTAGGGAGGTGAGGTAGACTTGTTTCTCTGACTTTTATTCCACCCCCTTCCCCCCCCCCCCCCCCCCCCCCCCACATGGAGACACAATTAGCTCCTTGAATGCTCCCTGTTTACTGCAAGTGAAGTGAAAGAATCCATATCTAAACAAGCTGCAGAAAGCAGCGTTCCCAGCTTTTGAGCAGCTATTCTTCACTTCTTTGAAGTTTTTAATGCACTTTGACATGAAGCTGAAAGTATAGTTACTTTTTTTATAATACCACTGGAAAAACTTGAAAAAATGAGTCTAGCACGAGAACAGTTTTCCCCATCCTTTTCTCCTCTTCCTGCAAGCTTCTATCAAGTAACTGTTCCTGTTTTTCATAGTGGCTTTCTGTAATTATTGCCGGATTTGTTTCTGAATATTTAACAAGTCTGCCTGTTAGGTACTTTTCAGTTATTTCTTGTTGTCTGCGGTGTGGTGTGTCTGCTTTATTAAAAGCTTCATGAGATTGTGCCAAAGTGAGACAGATAACAGCGTTGCTATTGAAAGGTGGTGATCCATTACTTACATTGCTAGTTTAAAAGAACGTGGACATAACGTGCCTGAAACTGACCATAAGCCTTGATAGCGTTTCACTGTCACAAATTTACCTGCTGTATTTTAAGATGTTTCTCATATAGGTTGCCTTACTAGGCTGAGTTGTAAGGGCAGTAGGTGAAAGTAATTCTGCCAGTGAAATTACTTTTGTTTCTTGCATGCAGTCTTGCATTCCAGTGCCTAGTACTTAGGCTTTATGATACCAGGAAGCAATTCTCTGCAGACCTCTGTTCTTTTTTGTGAAATTATGCAGGATAACAAACTTGAGAAAGATGTTTAGACTTAGACGTTTAAGTATCCCAATATATCTGAGCAGGATTTATAAAAGGCTTAAGACTTCTCATGTAGAATAAAGAATGATTTTGACAAACACTCTCTAGTTCAAGAAGCAGAACATTTGTAATACATTCATGATAACATGGCAAAACATCCTGAGCAGTAAACAACATTCCATTCTTCACAGATGAAAGGAGGTCTTTGAAACTGAAAGCAAGTACAATATAGCCTTAGGCTGATACACATTTGGGCATCTTTAAAATCATCTTTTTGGGCAACCTGTCTGAGAATAATTTAAACAGGCAGGATGTACTTTCTCATTTCAAATTGCAAATACAGACAGCTTTACTCTCAAGTAATCTTAAATGTCAGAACTTCCTGACTATGCAATGGCAAGGAGTAAATCTGTGTGTAATACTCCTGTGATCTTTTTTTTTTTTAAAGCCTAATACCTTGGTAGACAGGTATGATGGAAGAAGTTATTTCTGAATATGAATGATCCTTTGACAGTATTTAATGAAATCACTGATGCTAACTGCATTAAGTTTCTTAACTAAGACTTCAACTTTCCTTCGATAATGTTCTTTGTACAATGTTTGTATCTCTTATATCCGTGTTAGAGCAAAGTTGACTCTCTTCAGCTCCTTTTTATCGTTACCTACTGCAATAATTAAAGGAAGGGAATTGTTTCAAGCCATTATTGATGTAAACTGAAGCCCTAAAGTATTTGGGGAGACAGGGAAGAAATAATCAGTTACAGTATGTATTAAAAAAGTGAAACTCTGTAAGCAAATTTGTTACATATTTGCCTTTCTTTATTCAGTACCAAAATGTAATGGGTACTGGAAGAGTGCAGCTCAGCAGACTGAGTTGGTATGGATCTGCTACCTTCTGTTGCAGTAACAGTAAGTGTGAAGGGCTAAGAGCAGCATTTTGTTAGCATACCATGTTTCCTTTCTCTACAAATGAGCATCTGTGTTTAACTGGGATGGTTCTTCAGCCCTAGGTATCAGTTTCTCCACACTCTGCCATGTGGCTTTGCCCCTCTTCTGGAAAGTCTTTTTCCTGGGATAGCTGAATGCCTGATTCCTGTACATTCATCCTATCTTGTTCTCTGAAATTCTGCTGTCTTTACTTGGTCTTTGAAGGAGACCTATTATGGATTATTTTAATCTTGGAAATAGATGGTGGTGACATGAGCATGTGCTTTACAGCTAGAAGCCTGCATACCAGCAGCCACATCACCTCATAGTGTGGTGGGTAACAAAGAAAGAAAGAGGTTCTTGCCCAGAGGAGTGTCTGTCAACTAATTTGGACCTAAAAGCAATATAAAAAAAGGGTAAACTATATCTTGCCATGATTATTGCTTATGTATTGCTAAACTCAAAATAGCAGTAGGGGCAACTACGTGATGATCTTGGAATGAAAAAATAAGGCTAATGCTCTAGGCCTAATTAAAAAAAAAAAAGAAAAAAGCATCAGTGTAATGGGAATTCTTTTCCCCTTCTCATTGGAAACACTCATTTGGGTAGTTTTGCATGTTCTCTTCACTGCAACTTAACATTTGAATGGTATTGTTCAGAAAGAGTAATTTGAGACAGCCCTGGTAAGAAAATCCCTCTATTGTGAAAATGTGTTAATTGGTGCTACTTGTATTCCAGAGGTGGTAATATCTTCATCTCTCTCATTCTGGTCCCTTTGGATGCTTTTGGATACAATGAGGGGGAGAGGCCTTTGGATTTGATTCATACATGTTTTCGGGTTTGTGTATTTGTTACCCACCTCTTCTCCCCCAGTTTGGGGGCATGTGGTGAACCGTAATGAATTAAAGGGTGGGAAGAATTGAAAAATGACTTGAGAAGGGAGAACACTTCTAAAACAAATCAGAAAAAAGTAAACTTGAAGCCACAGACTTATTTTCCCAATTCTGTGTTCTGTTTCATAGTTTTATGGGGCATATTACCAACCAATAAATGTTTTCAATGCTGAGAAATAGTCAAGGCTTATTTTCGATTAAGTTTTACTGCTTTTCTGATGACAAAGCTGTTTTGGAACAAACAGCTTTGTCTCATTCTCACTGTAACCGGAGTCTTAGAAATTTGAAAACCCTTGGAGATATTTAAAGCTTTTTTTCCTGTGAGGAAACAGGCTGCAGTTCTGAGTCCTTAAGCTTTCTTTCCTTCTATCCAAAGGTGTCTTGGGTCCAAGGTTGTCTTTGGCCTTGAACTGAGAGCAATATAGTTGCGCAGTATCACACAGCAGGGAGGGAAAAAAGTCTACATATGTTTTTGAAAGTAGAGTTAGGAGGCTGGCTGTTATTCTTATGGTCAGCTTCTGAAGACTGTGGTTGGACCATTCTTGTACTTTATACAGGAATACTTAGTTGGATGCCTGCACTTCTGTGTAATGTTTTGGGGGAGACTGCTTGCTTCTCATCCATTTCCTGGCTCAGTGATAACACATGAACTACTTGGAAGTGATGCAGTCTGTCTTGCCCCGAAGTGCCGTTGATGGTGTGTCCTTCACTTGCCTCCTTCCAGGTTGGTCACGTTGACTGACGCGGGTAAATCTTGTGTCTTTTTTTTTTTTTTTCTTTTTGCCTGATCCAATGGCAGAGGACACTTCCTCCTTTCAGACACTGCTTGTGGCTGTCCTGTCTACCGCCAAGACTGGCTGCTCTGTTAGTAAGTGTGGGTCTTGCCTTGCCACCCGTAGTCTAGCTCTGCTGTGGAAACTTAGGCTACTGCAGGTAGCTGCTACAAGAAGTAAATGATACAGCTGATATCCTGGGGTCAGTGCAGAGCCATTCCAAGTACTTTCTTTCTGTCAAACTCCTAGCTCTGGCCAACGTACATACAATAATGTGATACTTCCAGGGTGATGCACACCTTCTAATACAGCAGTCCACAAATAAGCTTGTATTCTCCTTCTAGGAAGAAGTTTGGCAAGAAGAAATAGGAGAAATGTGTTGTTTTCTACACTGGTCATTGTTCCATTTTTAATATTGATTGTGGGTGGAGAAAACAAGCTTGTCGCCTTCTCTGCTAGAGCTAGGTCTCTGCCACATC